GAGCCCAGCAGGTTGAGGCTGTGGTGTCCGTGAGCATTCCTCTGCACTGGGCGACAGAATGAGACTCTGACTCAAAAAAAAAAAAAAAAAAAGGTTGGGCGCGGTGGCTTAGCCTGTAATCCCAGCACTTTGGTAGGCCAAGGCGAGAGAATTGCCTAAACCCGGGGGTTCGAGACCAGCCTGGGTAACTGAGACCTCATCGCTACAATAAATCCAAAAATTAGCTGGGTGTGGTGGCACATGCCTGTAGTTCCAGCTACTTGGAAGGCTGAGATGGAAGGATTGTCTAAGCCCAGCAGGTCCAGGCTGCATGGGCACAAGTGTGCCACTGCACTCCAGTCTGGGCGACAGAGTAAGACTCCAACTCAAAAAAAAATCACAGAAATACAATTTCATGCCCACATATTTTACTGTGAATATCTAAGAATAAGGGTATTCCCAGAACCATGATATCACACCCAAGAGAATTAACAGTTCCCTGATGCCACCTTGCACACTGCCATATACACATTCTCCTTCCTGAATCAGAAATGTCTTTTTTTGGTTGTTCAAATCAGGATTTTAAAAAACTGTGTCTGTTTTCTTCAAAAATATAAAGATTGTTGGCCAGCCGCGATGGCTCACACCTGTAATCCCAGCACTTTGCGGGGTAGAGGTGAGAGGATTGCCTGAGCCCAGGGGTCGAGAACAGACTGGGCAACTTGGCCAGACCTCCCCTCTACAAGAAATCAAAAAATTAGCCAGGCACGGTGGCTCATGCCTATAATCCCAACACTTTGGGAGGTAGAGGTGAGAGGATTACCTGAACCCAGGGGTTTGAAACTAGTCAGGGAAACTTGTCAAGACCTCATTTCTACAATAAATCAAAAAATTAGCTGGGTGTGGTGGCACACGCCTGTGGTTCCAGCTACTTGGAAGGCTGAGGTGGAGGAATCACCTGAGCCCCAGCAGGTCGAGGCTGTGGTGGCCGTGAGCATGCCACTGTACTTCAGCCTGGGCGAGAGTCAGGCTCCAACTCAAAAAAAATAGCCAGGCATAGTGGTGAGCACCTATAGTCCCAGCTACTTGGGAGGCTGAGGAAGAAGGATAGCCTGAGCCCAGCACGTGGGGGTTGCAGCGGCCATGAGTGTGCCAGCACTCCAACCTGGTTGTGACAGAGTGAGACTCCGACTAAAAAAAAAAATACTAATAATTTTTTTTTGGTTGAGGGAGAAAAACAAGGGAAAATGGCATCAACACATGTCAACATCAAAGGCTAAGGTATAAAGTCATATAAAGTAGGGAAAGCCATGAAAGTTAACTTTGGTGCATACACACATATAATTTCATCTTCAACAGTTTCTTGCAAAATAAGCATTATCTCCATTTTGCCAATGAGTTTAAACCCACTATCAGAAATTAGCAGAAGCCGGGCTCGGTGGCTCTGCCTGCAATCCCATGCTTTGGGAGGCTGAGGTGAGTGAATTGCCTGAGCCCGTGGATTCGAGACCCACCTGGGCAAGTGGCGAGCCCTCATCTCTACAATAAATCAAAAATTAGCTGGGCGTGGTAGCGTGTGCCTGTAGTTCCAGCTACTTGGAAGGCTGAGGTGGAAGGATTGCTAGAGCCCAGCAGGTCGAGGCTGCGGTGGCTAGGAGCGGCCACTGCACTCCAGTCTGGGGGACAGAGTGAGACTCCAACTCAAAAAAAAAAAAAAGAAATTAGTTGAACCAGGTGGCTCACGCCTATAATCCAAGCACTTTGAGAGGCCAAGGTGAGAGGATTGCCTGAGCTCATGAGTTTGAGACCAGCCCAGGCAGCTTGACAAGGCCTCATTTCTACAATAAATCAAGAAAAATCAACCTGGCATGATGGCACACGGCTGTAGTTCCAGCTTCTTGGAAGGCTGAGGTGCAAGGATCGCCAGAGCTTAGCAGGTCAAGGCTATGGTGGCCGTTTTGAGTATGCCACTGCACTCCAGCCTGGGTAACAGAGTGAGACTCCAACTCAAAAAAATATATAAAAATAAAAACATAATAAAAAAAAGAAATTAGCAGAACCTGGATATAAAGCCACATCTTTCTGGTTAAGTTAATGTCATGTCCCAAGAATTTAAGCATGTACCAGCGGATGTCTCTTTCCTTATAGCCAGAAGATAACAGCTCGTTATTTCCCGTGTCCTTGGACAGCATTCCATTGGCAGGCCGTGTAGCAGCAGTGCTAGCTTGTCAGTGACTGAGGCACCTTGACATCTCACCTTCTTGTGTCATCTTAACAAGGGTACTTTGCCTAAGACTGTTTTCTTAACTTTAAACTCATTTTATAATGGCCTCCTGCCTGGGTCATAGTTAGGGCTCATTAACTATTAGCTGTGTTTGTAAAATCCTGAATAAAAATAGATATGCCAAGCTCAATGAGAGGCGATTCCTCTCTCTCTGACTTGGTATTTAACCTTAATGTCCACCATCAGTGAGACTTCCCAGTTCTCAGTTCAGTGCCGTACAAGTCAGCATGCTATAAAATACTATGCACAATAGCACAGAATACAGGTTGAAATAAAAACCATGTGAAGGTGTCTACGAGAGCTTAAGTGCCAAGAGCACCAGCAGGGGGCTTCTGGGGACAACAGAAAAAACTGTCAAAGTCTAATGTGTTAAAGGCTAAAAAGGCTTGCCTGCTCTCCATAGGGGCCACCACCCCTCACTGGTGCCCCGTGACATAACTAAGGGTTGCAACCTGCTTCCCTCCCTGCCTCGTAGACGGTTTTGTGTGTCAGGAACAGCACAAGCCAACCTTTATAGGAGGCAAAGCTAGGCTGACCGCAGTGATTCATGCCTGTAATCCCAGCACTTTGGGAGGCAGAGACTGGAGGATTGATAGAACCCAGGAGTTCAAGACCAGTCTAGGCAACATGGTGAGACCTCGTCTCTACAAAACAATCAAGAAAGTAGCTGGGTATGGTGGTGTGAGCCTGTTCCAGTTACTCAGGAGGCTGAGGTGGTAGGATTGCTTGAACCCAGGAGGTTGAGGCTACAGTGAGATGTGATCGTGCCACTACCAATTCTGTTCTGGTTAATCCCTTGAGAACTCCTGGGCACTTTCTGACAAACAGAAACAATAACCCTCCTACTCAGCCATCTGTCAAAGGCCAGGCACATGATAGTGACCCCCACGGCATCCCTGAAGGGAGGCATTACTAGCAATATCTTATAGCAGTTGTTGAAACAAAATAAAACTTTCTCCTTGGAGGTGGTAGAACTGTGAAAGAAAACACTGGGAGGGATTAGATTTACAGATGTAAGCCGGGCCTGGTGGCTCAGCCTGTAATCCCACACCTTGGGAGGCTGAGGTGAGTGGATTGCCTGAGCCCGTGGGTTCGAGACCCGCCTGGGCAACTTGGCAAGACCTCAACTCTACAATAAATCAAAATGAGCCGGGCGTGGTAGCGCGCGCCTGTAGTTCCAGCTACTTGGAAGGCTGAGGCGGA